TAAAGAATTGACTGTTTCAAACCACACAATCTTTTTTTTCATACACCCTTTCGCTGTTAATATGCATAAAGACACAATATATATATCATGAAAATATTCAACATGAAATGAATAATCTATGTACAGTATGATTGTTGTTTTCGTATCAGTGTTTCATCTCGGACAAAACATGGACACCAGGTACGTTTCATGAAGTTCAGTCATTCAACCAGCAGATGTCGCTTTTGGTTTGTAAATAGCTCAACAGTACACTTGGGCTGTAACGGGGCCTTTTATTTTAGTCTTAAATATCTAAGCATATGGCACCTGAGCACTGTAAAAATAAAATAAAAAATTCAGTTCTGTAGGCCAACTTTGATATTATTGATGAAATTCCTGTCCCCTCCTCTTTCTCACAGTCCAGATGGACGCTTGTGTAGGAGAAAGGATAGAGACAGAAAGCAGAGAGAGACCAATTTATGTGGGCAAACAGGGAGGGAGGTGCTGACCCATAGAATAAAAGAAGTGTCTGGGCGGGAGGTGGACTAATTTAACCGATCTTTACTCCGCCACAATCCTGAAGCCCTCTCAATACCTCTCTCGCCTTCGTGAAAGAGCACTTGAAGGGTTGAAAAACATTCCAGAGAGAGAAAAGTACCTGGTGACGGAGAGCAGCTTTAGTTTGGAGCAAGAGCAGAAGGGAAAGGTTGTTATCATGATCCCGAAATTCTTCATATCTTCAACCGAGAAAGTGGATTCTGTGGCTTTGGTTTCACAAAGGCTAGTTTAATTAACACAGCCTTAGTTTTTACTTTTGGTCACACACGGGTCACTTTAACCACTTGTGGTGTTTCCATTCTGTGCTCACAGAGCGTGCATCCAGAAAAGACAATTATGTGTGAGCCAAATACATGAACAAGGGAGGTACAGAAAGCGTATCGCTGTCTTTGCTAAATAGCTAAGATGTGATCTGAAGGAGGAGCCCAATGAATTATTCAGACAACCCTTTTAAGCAATGTCTATTGTGTACTTTTGGGCTACATGTAAGCAGAAAAACAAATGTATTATATTTTTAAAAATGTTCTCCAAAGACAAAACCGGCTTTTTTAAAAGTCCGTGGAAACTTTGCACAGTGGATTGGGATCAAATACCAAGAATCCATAAACAATATCATGCAAACCAGTGCAGTAGCCTGCAAAATATATAGTGAGAGAAGTATTGATTGTGTCAAGAATGTGGTGTTTTTCTTGAGAGTGTATCAGAGAAGAACTGAGTGAAGTCAGTTATATTTTTTCTGCTGAGTTGCTCATATAATACAGCCCTGCACAATAACACCATAGCCTAAACAATAATTAAATGAATGCAATGGATTGCACAAGTGTTCCTGTTGTTTTGCTAAATTCGCGAGCTTAAAACGCTAACAGTTACAAAACATTTGACTGTGTTTGTTGATTTGGCAAGATCTTGCAATTTTTTGAGAGAAATTGAAGTTCAATTCAAAAAAAGCAAGCTGCTGGTAAAAGATAAAGGAAATATGAAACAAAGAGCAAAAAAACAAACAAAAGTAATATAAAAGTGGTGGTCATCATCAGCCAAATCATGTCTAATGGAAAAGTCCACTGCTCCTAAAGGAGGGGTTGTGGAAATGTCAGTGGGTAACTTTAGAATGAACAAATTCTAATATGGCTGTGATTTTAGAAGAAGCCCCTAAATTGAATTATACAGTCTTTCAGTCTGCACTCCTCTCTCTCTCTCTCTCTCTCTCTCTCTCTCTCTCTCTCTCTTCATACATTCTTTGCCACAGCAACATATAGCTTTCACATTGATGCAGTGCACTCAAGGAAAAATATTCTGACTGAACATAAGAACAATGGGAATATTCAATGCACTCATTTCACCCACTTCGAGATAGATTTAAAAAAAAAGAAAAAGAAAAAGAAGAAGACATGCTCGCGTGCACACTCGCACGCTCATACGTTTGCACGATAGAGTTGCAGATGAATGGGATGGTGGGAGAGTAATTGTATCCCTCGTGGCTCTTCTGAAGACAGCACTGAGACTCAAATTAAAGCATTGACCTGGTTAGCTTTCCGTCAGCAGAAGGGGGTGCTGCCCCCCCCCCAACCCACCCACACACACATTAATTTGCAAAGATTAACTTGTTGACTGATTATGAGCAGCAACTACACATGTCAGCATGTGACAGACCCATGACGCCATGACTGACCATCGAGAGCAATTGTTCAAATTCTCCACAGCCTTTAATTGTCACAAATCAAGTCCATAGAGAAAATTAGGCCATTTTTGGAAGTTTACAAGCATCCCGGTAAAACTATACCATATATGGATAAATGAGTGATAGGATAGGATATTCCAAATATCTACCACCATGACCTCCTGCATAACAGACACAGTATCCAGATGAATTGTTATTGGTTTGGTTGGGAATTGAGTTATCAACATATTCAGCATCAATAATCTTCAAATAGGTTGGATTTCAATTTCTTAACAATTCTCTCACATTTCCTTTCACAGTTTATTTTTAACTATAAGTTTCAGATCCACTGTTTTCATACTAGATCTGTTAATCTTCTCTTTTGCAAGTATACAGGACTAGCATTGGCCAGTTTTCAGTTAGATACTGAGGTACGAAACAACTTTAGTCTGTTGCAAAAGATCTCGAACAACTTTTCTTGAAAGAGTAAAGGATGTATGTGTGTGAAAGCAGTGCAAATATATGGCATTTTAATCCTTGTTTTTGTTTATTTTCCTTCCTTGGTATTTTCAACTCTCGTTGTGTATTTCTAGTTTAGAAATTGTGTTCTTCTCTTTCTTTTAGATATTTTAAAAATAAGTAGCCTGTTTGTAAATTGGTGGCAAGCATATAAAGCTTTCTTTAATCTAAATGTTTGATGGGTTCTTTTTACAAGCCTTCGGGGGCTTTTTTTCATTCCAGCTGTGCACCTTATGATATTGAATTTTTAATTATTTTGTTTTATTCATCATATGCACACAAAATAAAGAACTAGGAACTAATGGCAGACCTTTTTACTGCAGACATTTTGACTTGTCGAGGAAGGACAAACACCGGTGGAAGTAAAAACATTAACAATGGCTCAGTTCATAGTTTCCCAGGAGGCCAATCTGAACCATCAATGTACCAGGGCCCTGCAACTAGCAAAACTGAATGGGACACAGCAAACATCAATGATGTTATAAAATACATCTCCCATTGATGTTTGTTGCTAAAGCACCGCCTGTAGGCAAAATGCTATGAATATTCAAAAGATCAGAGTTGATGAGGGCATATTTGATCTAATTATGGTTATATGCATAATGCGCTCAAGTAAGAATGCTGGCTACTTGTTTCTGTGTTACAGGGAAATGATACAGAATACCAAAAATGTATTATGAACCACATTTTGAGAACACTGGATGAAAGTTATCAAAGTAGTGACATTTTTTTTTTGCTGACTATTCCAAATGGAGGAGAAAATGGGCGTGGCCTAAAAATAGTCTGTGGTTGGATGATGCAGCCAATGGGTTGGACCACCAATCAGGCAATAAAAAAGGTTTCTCTAACTTCAAAGTCTATTAGTTCTAAAAGAAAACGTTGCTTTTGTAAATTGCATTTGCTAAAAAAAAAAATAAAAAAAAAAAAAAAAAAAAAAAAAAAAAATCAGTTCCTCTTGATTAAGTGGTCTAACTTTTCACTTAATTTAATTGGAATCCGTTTAATAATTTCAAGACCTTCCGCTGACCCACAGACAGAGAAACAAACCAAACAGATCAAATGTATGACAGCGGTAAAGCAATGTAGCCTAGATTGTATTTTCAGTGAGTTATCGTCAAAGACAGCGAAGAATAAAGTGATTTGATCAATCAATGTGTGTCGGTTATCAACAGAGGTGACGTAATGTGTCTACTAATGGACCGTTCCTCCAGAGGGGATGCTGCTGTACGATCTCGCCAAATGAGCGGTTACTTCTCATTGTCAGGTGAGCCCCCGGTCTCCCCGCTCCGTGTGGCGTGGATGGTACAGTCCACTTGCCTCTCTGGAGTTGTTGCTGAGGAGGTTCCACCGTTCAACACATACCGTTAAATTGGCATGCAGCCGACGCTCGTGTCCTGTAGCAGAGAGACTGCACTGTTCATGAAAAAATGTTACCGCGCTATCAGCGGAGTTACCTCGGACAGCAGGGCAAGGTCGCGTTATTTCACCTTTTCTGCAGTATTACAGGTGAGTCGGGGATTTTACACGGCAGTTTTTACTTGTTCTACTGAGGTGACACAAGAAGTTTTGTGAAGGAGCCGAACGACTCGTGCATCTTGCAGAAATCTGAGCGAACGAGTCGGCTAAACCAGCTCCGACCGTGCGTTTTCAAGTACGGGTCATTGTAAGTTGCCAGTTAAGCAAGTTTAGCAGGTGTCAGGGAAAGACCAGAGGGAAGTTGTCTACTTGTTCACTTCAACGCTTCGGAGCGGTATATAGCTATGATGGTGCGACCCGAGGCTACCATAGAACCAGTCCACGGAAACCACCGAGGAACACAGGCAATGGTATTAATTCAGCTATACAGATACTGTGGGGTCATTGCATAGTCAGTGGCAGCCATATTAACTTCTGAAACATGTGCTATTAAAGTAACATGGGGCTGTTGTGTGTGTGTCACGCCAGCTGCTTTTGCAAAAATGTTGAGGAGCTGACATTAGTGTCACCAGAGAAGACAATGCTAAATGTCAGCACCTCTCAGACTGAGGAAGAGGGTCAGCCACCATGTGCCTGCAGTGGAGCTCATTATGGTTTAATTAAGGGCTGAACAATTTACTAACTCGAGCCTGAAACACGCCAACTTTGTGCACGGCGCTGTGGTGCTGCTGTAAAAACTAAAGAGGCGAGGGTCCAACAGTTGAGAGCTCAAACTCTGTCTTCAAACCGTCCACATACCTACTCTCAAGTTAGCTTATGTGTGTCTGAAGGAAACCAATGGAGCGTGTATGGTTAAATATGGCAATGCGTGATAGGATGTCTTACCCACAGGCAGCTTTTTATACCAACTACCCTTCCTCCACAAAAAGAAACGCATGTTTGATGTTAACAAGTGTGATGCTGTAAACCAGCCTGAAGACGCCCCGAATAAAACATTGTAAAGGAAAAAAAAAAATACAGACCAAATTAAAACTTCACTGTGCTCAGAGGACAATCCATGGTTAAGTGTCCCGGGTGTACCATGACCAACCAATGAGTGAATCAGGCTGACAGTTTGTGTTTCTCTTACCATATTTCTCTTGCTTCATCTTAAGGTTAAAAAAAGGACCCCTAAAATGCTCACCAGAACATCAATTGACGCAGCTAAATGCAACACCACCACAAACTGCATTGGAAAGGGCTGTTGGATTGCATTCCATGTTTTCTAACTCGGCTTTGGCTGTACTTTGTCCGTAAAACTGACGTGTGTAATATATAGGATAGCAAAATGGGCTTCTTACCTCAGACGTGATCACATCAGAGCAGCATTTTACAGCAGTGTCTCATCATCAATAGCTCCATCCATTGACTAAAGGGAAAATAACGACCATATTGCACATGCCGAGATACTTGCACTGTTTTATGTTGTAGTGGTCCTCCCTTGAACTTAGGCAACTGGGCAGTGTGCAGAGAAGGGACGCTCTTGGACTGAACTAATGGACGGATCTTTAACTTTTGTTAAAGACTTGACGCGAGAGACAAAAGTAAAGTGACCCAGACCCTCTCTCACATAAGTAATGTATTGCATGTTCTGTCATGTTATTGCCAGGATTCTAAAGTTCCTAAACAGGAACATGTTTACCTCCTCCAGAGTTCAAATCAAGGAGCAGGCAGGTGCCCATTGGTCTACCTCCTGTTTCGTTGGCTGTACATTTCAATGAGTGGTTTGACCGTGTGCCTTTTTAAAAAAAAAAAATGCAAAATAGATGCAGATTTAAGGCCTAACAAACATGTTTAAGACACTTCCATACAACACATTTGGGGAGTTTGAACATTTTTAGACCAGAAATTTGTACCATGTGAGGTGTTGATTAGTGGAATTCTGTGATGTTAGAAGAGACACCATACTGCTGATTTAGCCTTTTTCATGTAGTAGAAGTAATTAGTGTTGGTACACTTTTGCGTTATTGCCCTCTGCCGTCGGCTGTAAATGCGTATTGCGTTACCACTGTGCACGTGTGCCTTTTGTGCAGCTCAAAAAAATGTGTTGAAAAAGTTGATTTCCAGGTGTGATAAGCCACACTGACAAACTATCATTAGACCCTTTCTTGTCCTGCTCTGCACAGCTTACCCGGCCACTTCCACCATCACCGTTTATGTTCTGATTTCCACTTTTAACAAGACTCACTGCCCTCTGGCAAGACACACATATTAATACACTTGCTGCCACATAAGTGGTGCATGTGAAGGTAATATTGACTAAAGTGAGAACGAGCACCAGGGTGTCCCCAGGGAGCAATGTGTCCTTGATGTCAGGATATCTATAATCCGTTTTTGTGTGTGTGAGAGAGAGAGTGAATGAGGCGCATTGTATCTACAATAGCTGCTCTCTTTGAGGATCTGAGGATGCAAGAACATAAAGTTTCTTTTTCTTTGTCTCTGAAAACCCAAGAAGAAGAGAGAATACATTCCTATTGCTATGTCTAGATGGGCTGCGTATAAGATCAGATAGGCTTTGCCCTTATTCTCATCACTTTTTTATTCCGTGTTGGAGAAAACGAGGGCAGGCTTACGTAAGGTTGTCGTCATGTCACAATAAAAATTTTATACAGTCGCTATACCTCTTCCATTACATATTCAGTGCAGGAAGATGCTGCTTTCTTTCCTCTTACTCTTTATTCTTGCCATCTAGCCTCATCATGACAAATACACAAGTTGTGAAATCGGTTAACTGCTTGAGGAAAAGGCTCACGCTGCCGTATGGGTTTACGTGTGTTTATACCGACCATTTCATTTTTACTTTAGGTCGTAGGGTAAATACATGTATTATACTTTCATTCAAAAAGTTTGAGTCTTTACTGTGTCCCTGTTTCCACTTGTGTCGTTTATAAGATACATATTTTCCCAATTCGTTTTTTTAAGGACGGCCTGTAAACTACCTTTTCATGGAGCATGTGGTGACGTGCACAGTACGGGCACTTAAGTGCCAGTTTCTTTAAATGTGTTTTTAATGCACTGCCTCCTTTACTCGATCACCTTACTTAATCATTTGCAAGTGCGATGCTCCGTTTGGGCTGACTTGCTAATTACCTTCAGCAACTGAACAATATCAAACATTGGCTTGGGGACTATTGCTTTTGAATGAAGTTGCAGACTTCGTGTAGCACAACATATGGGAATATTCTTCAGGAAGCAAAGCCTCCATATTTTGCAGCATGGCTGTTTAACTGGTGGCTCATTCCAACAGTTGAGTCATCATTTAAACTATTCGGATTGGTCCAGCCACTCCAGATTTCTTACTCAATTCATATTTAATGACATGTAATAAAGCATCCAGTTTTAATTAGTTTCAATCTGGTTGTAAGTAATTCCTCCTGCGTTTTAGACGAGTTGAGAATACTGTTTTGTATTCACCAGTGGAAATGAAAGCAATAGCCATGATGGCGAACAATACACTTTAATTTGCTTCAGCAGTCTGAGTTAGCCAAATCAAGTGGGTATCATTCAACCAACAGAACCATCTGGGAAGCTGCCGTTAGAACGCTTTATGGAAAAGGGCTGGCACTTTCAAAAAAATGACTGGCAGGTGAGGGAATGAATAATCTGTCAAACACTTACCGAAGTGAGTCGGGAGAAGAGCAAAACTGGGAAAAGCCTCCAGTGCTGGTCTTTGATCTTCTTTCAGTGAAGAAATACTCTCCACCTCTGATATAACCGATGCTATTGCAACATCTACGCCAAGCCCTTCGGGGGCCGCCATTGTTGTTCAGAATGACCAGTCCCCTCTCTGTGCTGTGTGTACACAAACGCATGACTTGGATTTTTGTGTAACGTGTGATCCCGCGATTCTTGTGTGATCTCATGACGTCGCGAGAATCGAGCTGCCGTGCGCGGAAACCCTCTGTGTGTTTCTCATTGGCCAGCAACATTGTGAAACGAAGGAAATTCTGTACTAAAATAACTGCAACTTTGAGACCCTCTTGATTTGACTAACAGACTGCTGAACTCTCATTTTAGTCTCAGCTAAGTGTGGAATGCATCTTTGCACAGAATGATGACTGGGGATTTTGTCCCCATCACTTCCATTGGAAGCACATGGGGAGGGAATGCTCTATATTCACCGTTACAAGGTGTTTTATTTGTCATTATGCAACAGGGTTGCACGAGGAAATTTAGATTGTAGTCCCATTTTGCTACATAGGAAAAATACAATAAAACTATTATTATGAGCAGGAACAAGAATAAGTGTGTGTGCACAGGTGTATTTTAGTGTGAATTGAAACCCATGCATAGCCCTAAATAGCACATAAATACAGGAATAGTGCATCATCAGCTGAACATCTCCACACTGTTGCACTGACTTCGGCTGCTCTTTCTCTGTATGAGCAATACGATGACTCATTATACCCACTCTGCACAAAATATGCTATCAAGATGTGATATCCACAATTTAACATTTTGCTTATATTTGAGATATTTACAGCCTACCTGGGCCGAACGTGTTAAAGTTTGCTATGTTTGCAATCATTATATTTCAAAACTGGATTAATAAATATTTTCATTATAATATAATTTACAATATTGATTCTCCAATTCGACAAATGAGTCACACTATAATTAGTTAAGCTGTTACACCATTTCAATTTTCTTTTTTCATTATTTGCAGTCCCTAATAACTAACCTTGTAATTAACCCCTGAACCTACCAACATTCATATTTAATAAGACAAAAATAGATATATTAAAGTAAAATAAGTGAAAACAGTGTTCAAACTTTCTTCTTATCCCAGAACAGAAGACAAAAAAATGAACATTTAGGGGAGGGAAATGTTCTTTTTATAAAGTACTAATATTTGAGGACATTGCCTTTTTAGATGGTGCTTGGCCAGAGACGGAGCTGTTTTTTGGCGAAACAACAATAGAATATTTGGAGTCAGTTGCCAAGCAGCGCAGAAGGTTATGATTTATGACGATATCTTCCTGCTGGCAGCTTTTTGCAATTAGTTATGTGGTTGAGGGCTTTGGCAGTCCAGCAGTGCTATATTGTCTTTTCTAAAATCAGTAAGGCAATTCCTTTATTTTGTGTTGACTGTAATCCTGATGATACATTTCCTCTCACTTGTGTTTTTAAACATGATTTTGCTCTTGCCTCTCCTCCCTCAAAGCCCTCGTTTTCTTCTCCCAGCGATGATGTCATTGTCGTGTTTGCATATCTCTTCCCTTTTTTTTCTCTGCCGGTCTCAGCCTGTTCCCTTTATCTCCCTTTTGACTTTCCTCAACACGACGTTGAGCTCTCCGCTTTTGAGACGTGCCACATTTCTGACAATTGCAGGTGACTGAGTGCGTGAGGTAGTTATATTTGGACAAAGGACATACAGCCGGCATGCTTCTAATTGCCAAATTCAGGTCAGGAGGAGAAAAGCTATAGAGACAAAACAAATGTATCGACGTATCAGTCAGCTGTGTGTTATTTGTTGAAAAGCCCAACGCCTGCTGTGGCGGTATCAAGCTCTGATTCCGGTCTGATACCCACAGATGTCACATGGTACCGAACTTTGTTTTAACGAGTCCGACTGACGTCAGAGGTAACCCTGAAACTACTCTTCTCTCTACCTGATGCTATTGTGGTACTCTGGATTTGTTACTCAGTATTCGATTGAAGATCCGTCTGTCTCACATTTTTTAATTGAAAATTGAATATGTGACATTGAGTAGAATAAAGCAATATCAACCACAAAAGTGAATTGTCTGCCATGTCAATTACAAACAATTTTATTCACCATAGACTTATCGTTTGATTATTTTTAGATTAATCAATTGATCGTTTAGTCTCGAAATGTCCAAAAGGTTCTGACGGCGCCCAAAGTGAGATGTTTAGTTCGACCTCTCCAGAACTCAAAGATTTAAATTTTAGAATAACATAAAGCAAAGAAAAAACGGCAAATCTTTTGAACATTTGAGAAACTTAAACTGAAGCTGCAACAATCAATCCATTAATTGGTTGGTCGATCGACAAAAACTACAATTTGGTGAATTATTTATCGTTTAAGTCATTTTTAATCAAAAATGCCAAAAGTTACTTATGCCATGGTTTCCACGTTTTAATTAAAGGCTCACAATTATATTGATTCGCATTGTTTAAAAAGGTCTCAAGACAGCCAATAATGTTCGTAACATTCAACGGTAAGTTTAATTTTTTTTTTTTTGCCAAAAATGAATTTGTCCTTTTGAAGGAGGGGATCTGGATAAGTACAGATCTACAATTACACTGCTAATTAGCATTATGCGTCAAAAGAAGTTGGAGTAATACATTTTAAGGTAGTTTTAACAAAGGTTCAGCATGAATGCTTTTAACGTCAAACTGTTTTGCTTAATGGTGCTAGATTATCCGAACATGATTGTGTGTGTGTGGTTAAAGTCTTGTTTCTGTGTGTCTCTTCTGCAGGTGTGTGGGGCAGTCAGGTGCTGGTGCCTCAGAGGGTGAACGCTGTGCTGGGGAAGAATGTGACATTAGAGTGCCGGGTGGAGGTGGCTTCAAACCTCACTCTTACTCAGAGCTCCTGGGAGCGCCGCCTGCCATCAGGCTCTGTCACAGTAGCCGTCTACAACCCACGGTATGGCATCTCCATCCCGCCAGAGTTTCTCCATCGATTGTATTTCCGCTCGCCCTCTTCGCACGATGCCACCATTGTGTTGGGAAACGTGGGCTATGCGGATGTCGGGATCTATACCTGTAAGGTTGCCACATTTCCTCTTGGGAACACTCAAGCCTCCATTACTGTCAATGTGCTTGGTAAGTATTAACACGCACGTGTGTTCTTCTAAGTCCTGTAATGGCAAGTACAGCTAAAACAAATGGTCAGTTAATCATTTAGTTGATTAAATATTGAATATTTATTAAACTACATATCAAATGTGAATATTTGCTGGTGCTCTAAGTCTTTGTGTTTTGGACTCTTTGTTGGAGAAAACAAGCAAATTGTGGTGACTATTTGTTTTTGCCATTTTCTAATATTTAAACTAAATGATTGAGAAAATATATTTCGATAGTTGAAATAGTCATTTGTCAAGCTGTGGATATGGATGCAATTCATTTTAGATTGTTAGGGCTGGACAACGTCATTGAAATCAATATCACAGTATACTAATGTGTAAAAATATTGAAATTGTTCAGTGCAATGATTTGTATTCCACTGGTATGCATTAGCCTACATCACAAAGTTTTTCATTGCGACTTGCTTGGAATCATTCATTCAGACAACTTTTGTTCAAAGATAACTACGTAACATCATGATAAAATTCCAATTATATTCAATAAACGGAAATAATGAATTGTTGGCTTTGAAAGTATGCTCTTTTGATCCTTTGGTTGCATCATCACAGGTTGTCACTGCTGGCACACAAACTGTGTGTGTGTGTGTGTGTGTGTGTGTGTGTGTGTGTGTGTGTGTGT